GAGAGGTTTTTGCTATAGGGCGCTTGCACTCACCAGAAAGACAGAGAGACAGAAAGCGAGAAATCAGCCCCTGGGGGGATGGCTACCCACAATCCCTTCTCCATTCTCCTCTCAGAACCTTGAACATGCACGCACACACGCCTGGCATGAGTTTAAGCCACCGGGTCAGAGACTCGAACTGCAGTTGACTACGTGGGAGTCCAGGATGTAGCCATGACACTAACTGCTGGTCCCTTGGCTGACTTTCATAAAGTGAACGTATAACCCTAAGGGAGGCCTGCAGACTGCATGGAGAGCCCCAGCTCACATAGCCCACTGCAGTTTGAATCTGGGCCCAGCGGTGTGGAGACACACTGGGCAGGTGTGCCCACGTGTCTGCCCAGAGCCCTGACGACAGAGAAGTGGAGGAAAAAGAGTTTTAAAAATGAATGCAAAAGTAAAACTTAATTTTTAAAAACTAGCCCTGTGTGTGGGGTGGGCTGTCACGTGCGTGTAAGGTGACCTCATCTGATGTGTCAGTGTGTGTGCTCACCAGAGAGGGTGGGACAGGGGAAGCACCCCCAGTGGGGGGTGGCCACACTGTAGCCCCTGCCCTCCATTTCTCCATCCCAGGATCTGGGCACACACCAGCATGTCCCTCAGCTGCTAGGGCAGGGTTTGAACCAGGTCCGGCCATGTGGGCGCCAGCTCCCAATGTATGGTGCCCACTGCTGAGCCCTGGGGCTGCAGCATGCTCAGTGCAGAAGTCCACGGAGAAGGAAAGAGCCGAGACGTCCTGCCCTGTGCTCCTGATGATGGGTCTGCTCGGCCATCCGTCACTGAGGGCGATGTCAGGTGGAGGCTTCTGGCAGGGCCGCTGGTCAGCTAGGAAGACCCTTCTCTTTCTGGTTTGCTGAGAATCTGTCCCATGAGTGAGTGCCAGTGTCAGACAGGTCATCTGCATCTGCTGAGAACCATGTTGCTCTGCCCTGTATTCATGCGGGGTGGTACTTCAGTGGTCAGATGTGAAGCCAGCCTTGTATTAGCTGAGATAATTTGGTTTATTTGTACTTGGTCTTTTTTTTTTTTTTTTTTCCTGGTTGTTGAAAGATTTTTGCTGTAGGGTGCACACGCTCATTGGGGACAGAGAGAGAAATCACAGTCCAGGAGAGATGGCCCCACTGCAGTCCCTTCTCCATTCTCCTCTCAGGGATTTTGGGCATGTAAGTCCATGTACCGGGTGTGAGTTTCAAGCCACCAGGTGTGGGCCTTGTACCACAGTCCACCATGTGGGAGTCCAGCACCAGAACCACGGCCACACTGCCCGTGTTTATACTCTGTTAGTGATTTTCACATTCGTAGTCACAAAAGGTATCGGTTAATACTTGTCTTCTGGTTTCTTTGGTGGCTTTAATATTCGGAGTGACCCTGGCCTCATGGGAAGGACATGCCTCTATGAGCCGGCAGGGCGTTGCTGCTTCCTCCCCAGATGGCTGTGGGCAGCTCCCGTCCCTCTGCTCACCAGTCCCTCGTCACCAGGAGTTTCTCTGGGAAGGCTGCGCTGTGGCCGGTGTCCTGGACCCGGACAGAACGGGACGTGGATTCAGAGCTGTTCTCTGCCCACAGCCAGCACGGGGTAGACGGTCCGTGATGTCAGCACCACCTCCCAGCGGCCGCTGTGTGGTCCCTGAAGGCCAGCAGTATTTGGGCGGTGCTGAATCCCGCAGTTTCCTCACCCGGTTACTCTGAGATCAGCCCGGGGACAGAATAATTACCTAGTTTACCTCCCCCTCCCCGTGCAGTAACCGCTCTCTCCGTCGCATTGGCAGAGGAGGAGGGCAGAGACCTGAGCTGCCCTGTGGCTTCCCTGGTCCAAGTGATGCTGGACCCTTACTGCAGGACCGTCACTGGCTTCCAGAGTCTGGTGCAGAAGGAGTGGGTCATGGCGGGCCACCAGTTCCTGGACAGGTGCAGCCACTTGAAGAGGTCGGAGAAGGAGGTAACAGTCCCTGCAGCCCCTGGCGTGAGCACGGCACTATGTCAGGCGGCCCCTGGGGCTGGGTGGGCTCGGCATGACGCAGGTCCGCGTCCCTTGGCCAAGCCCAGCTGGCGGTCAGTGTGTCAGCGAGGGCTCTGTAAGTGGGTGGGGCTGGGCCCTTCAGACCTGGCTAGGTGCAGAGCAGGTCACAGGCACATTGGATGTCATGAGGGTCACTTTTCTTAACTGGGGCACGTGGGTTACGAGTGGACAGTGTGAAGAGCCAGTGGGGCAGCTGTGGGGCAGCGGCCACCTCGGAGCCCTGGCAGGTCTGATGGTCCTCAGAACGTGCCCCAGGCACACCATAGACCCAGGCATCGCACTGAAGGAGCTGCACGGGGCGGGCATGGGATGGGTTACACCGCGCAGTCCAGGGGCCTGTGCCAAGCTGTTCTGAAACCTGGGGACACGGCCCGATGCCGAGCCAGCAGAGTAAGCCAGAAGTCGAGTGCAGGTGCTAGCCGAGGGCTGTGCCACGCCGCGCCCACTGCCCTCCCCTCTGCACATGCAGGCTGCTCGCC